TTCAAATTCGATGATGAGGAACCCACTTTGAGACTAATAATGGCTGGAGACGGCTTGAAAGGGGAATGAAGAAAAACTTTAATATAAGTTTAACATAACAGCAAATGTACAACGTTTCAAAAAGGTTTTGTCACCTACCTGATGATGACAAAACCTTGTTGAAACGTTGTACATTTGCTGTTATGTTAAACTTATATTAAAGTTTTTCTTCATTACCCATTCAAGCCGTCTCCAACTATTATTAGTCTCAAAGTGGGTTCCTCGTCATCGAATTTGACTTGATAGTTATTTTAGGTTTAGTAGAAAACCTGGAGGTGTTCAAAAATTAATGTTATCTCTCTCTACCCCCAACCCTGGCTTACGATAACTTTAGTGGATATAATAGTGATTTTTCTGAGTAGTTGATTTTTTGTAGTTTAAGCGTGAGGGAAAACCCATGAAGAAGATAAAAAAAGAGATTTCTTTCTTGATTATTTATTGAAGGGAAGTGTAGTGGAGCTTCAAGCCTGACGATTGATCAACTAAACACGAGCAGCAGATCCAGACAGCCGAGGCCCCACCCCTGAGGGCCAGTGTACCCCATCCCAGGAAAGACACAAGACCAGAACCAACATACTTTCTTCTTAAAAACTTGAAAACTTTTTAGAGCTTAATGGCCATCTACTGGAGCGCCATCTATTGGAGCTTTTGTCATGACCTCGAACTACAGTTGTAGTATTACTATTTAGCAGCAAATCTCTGTGGCTTTCTTGAGAACTTGGAATAAGGAATGAGTCAGTTAATTTAGTATTATTACAAAAAACCTGGATAATTTCAAACAATAAAACAGTATATTTATGTGTATAAGTCTGGTAATAATATTCTACAGGAGACTGAAAAGTTTGAACTTTGTAAAACATTTGATGCTTTATTCCTATAATAACTTTTGGATTGAAATCAATGAGATAGATGAAGGAATGGTCAATAGATTATTTAAGTTTGCTGATGATATTCAAGTTTTGGGTATTGCTGCTGTGAGGACGATCGTACTGCTTTACAAAAAGATTTGGATTATTTGGCAAGTTTGGCAGATGGCTTTTAATTATAATAAGAGCAACATAAAGAATCTTAGATACCACAATTTGAATTATGAGAATAATTTTGATGGGAAAAACCTTAACAGTGTTATAGAGGAAAAAGATGTTGGTGTTCTGGTTGATCACAGTCTCTTAAGTCAGCCAAGCAATGTGCTGTTGCACTAGTGGCAGGGTAAATAGGATTTTCAGTTGTATCTATAGAAAATCTAATTGTAATTTTTACCTTGCATATCATCTACTGTAAGATTGTTTACGAGAAAATAATTGGCAGGTACTCAACAGTTGCAAGTTGTTAAAATGGACAAAGTAACTAGTCAGCTCCTGATTGGATGACATCTTGTTTCACTTCCATATCCTTTCAACAGGTATGATTAATATACACAGACGTACACTGGAATGATCCCTAGAACAAAATAACTTTTCTTTCTGCACAGTTTAAGTTTTAATAATTCTTTGAAGTTTTGAATGAGATTTTCTTGCATCAAATTCCTTCCATTCACATACTATTAATCAAATGATGTCTAATAAACCAATTGTTGTTATTTTTCAGGCTGTTAAGACTACAACACAATATAAAACTTCAGAAAAAGGATACCCAGCACAGAAGTGAAAATTAGCTCTATAATAACCTATAAAAGAAAGAGAGAAAAAAAAAAGTATCATTTAAAAAATCCACACTTTTATAACTTCCTAAAGAAATTAGTTCAAGGACCATAATTTTATTTAGATAAATTACATACTGGTGAAAGCCATCTTAATAATGGTGTTTGTATACGAAATTGAGTTAAGTTTATTCAGAAAACTAGCGATAGACTAATCGGAGCACAATTACATGATACTATTGAGAAACTGTTACAAAAAACGAAAACATTCACCAAAATAAACTAGATAGTTCATGAAAAATAAAGTATTTTATAATCTGAAAAACAAACATAAATCAACTTACTTCAAAAACAAATAAGCTTACATTCATTTATAATCTAGCAGATGCATGCTTATTAATACTCATTTATTTGCTTGGAAAATAAACACTAAATATAGGGTTGTGAACAACGCGTTCACACATTCAATAAAGAAGAGTGTGGATGTCTTGAGGGCAGTCTTACAGTCTTGATACACTTACATATGCTTGAAAAGAGGCTTAACTCCACTCTTACGAGAACGACTTGCATGTGCTACTACACAGGCATCTTGTTACAGATGCAAGTTGTGGCAATGTGTATTTCATGGCAAGTTTCCAACCATTTGGAGCAAAAATGCTGCTGTAAATTAACTTATGTCATATCTCTGTCCAAAGACAGATAATTACAGAGTGAGATTGTTAAAGATGTAGTGTCAAGACACAGTATTTTGAAGAAAGGAGCCTTCACTGTTCCCCGTAAAAACAAACATTTTTCACAGCAGTACTTAGGAGAACAGCAGGTTCTCAAACCATACCTCAAATCAATTTCAAGCAACACCCTCAAATTATGGTTACGCTTGCAGAAGAGAACCTTTCAACTCAAAAAGCCATTTGTATCGTTTACAAGATAGTAGACAAGGATTTTAATTTGGTGAAGGCTCACAGTCCAAAATTTCACGAGATTCCAACCACATCTCAAAATAAATAATTGTGTGTGTGTGTGTGTGTGTGTGTGTGTGTTTTTTACGAGAAAGGAAGAAACTGGAATCACAGCAATCCCTTTCCTTTACATGCCTGTCAAGTTCTCCAATAAATACTTGTACTTTTAGTGTGTTTAATCATGTGTTCTAAGACTGAACTGTCCTTTGCAAAAGCTCGTCACAATGGACACTATTGTAATGTCAGGCAACAGTGTGCAGTGATGACCATCAGACTGACCATAATTAATGATGAAGAAAGAAACATCATCCTTAAAAAGTGGAACAAGCAGATGAAACATCCTGAAATACTGTTGTAAAGCCACCATAACAGTTATAATAAACAAAGTTCTACACTTACCATCAGATAATGGATAATAAACGGAAATAACAATGATGTCCAACAGAACAGAAGCTCCATCAATCACTAGGGCCTGTGCAATTCAAAGAAACGTTTGTACAGAAGGAATTTAAACAAAGTACAGGAGCATTAAAAAAATTAATATACTTCATAACTAAGCTGTTCGGTGACATAACATTTGCACTACACAGAACACATGCTATAAAAATTACTGGGGAACAAAGCACTGCTAAACGAGTTAATGCCATCTGTTGGTCTTGTTTGTAAAGATTAACAATAAAGACCTAATTTCTGATCAGAATACTCAAGCAAATAATACATGCAGTAAAACTACTGGCAACAAAATTTCACTATTATGAATAGTTTTACAAACATGGGCAACTTCCTCCGTTTGAATGTACCTAAAATCATACTTAAGTCGTAACGAGTGACATGCTTTCTTAGTGAAGATATTTTTTTGAATTTCATGCAATGGGGCTGGAGAAAAGCAAATTTATTAAGTTTTTAAATCAGTCTATGCTAATAAGTAGGTAAAATCTGTAGGTTTTTTTTTTAAAACTTGTAACTCCAAAAACAATACACTTTAATAACTGGGACTTATTTACAAAAATGAATCACTAAGATTCCAATTTCTCTTCTGGATGAAATTCGATTCCAATGTCTCTTCTGGATGAAATTCGAGAACTTTCTTGAACATTTCCATTAGAACTAGCATCTACCCACCCATTCTCCCAAATATGTATTCCACTCCAGAAAATGTTACTCCTAAAACTTTTGTTTTATAAAAAAAGTATTCTTTTTTGAAAGCTATAGGCTACTATGAAAAGTGCTTGTTTAGATTATACATTTCATAAATTTTGACATACACTATTTGAGGTACCAGGATTTTTGTACATGTTAAGGTATACAAGAAAAGGGATAGAAATAATGATATAAAATTACATTCACTCGAGGAAAAGCTATCAGGAAGATTACATTCCCTCATGTAAAGTTGTATTTCCTCATAAATCGTTTTTTTTTATTTAATTCATGCAATATGTTAACTTTCATTGGTCATAACTAAACGAATACGGATGGACCCTGCATTCCCGATCGGGAGAGCCAACTTAAAATATGAAAAATTCCTCACGCAAAATTAAGTTCCTCTGGAATGTAATATTTCAATCCCTGAGGAAAAGCATTTACATGTAGGATCACGAAAAAACACAAATGAAATCTAAAAAAGCATGCTTTCCTAAAACTTTTCACAATGTGAATCTTCCCTCGGATAGCCCTTAGTTGATCAGTTGTTTACTAATATAAAAATATACACATAATTTAGAAGGTGTTGTTAACATTTTGAACAAAAATCTACGGCACCTTCATGAATTTAATTCATCTTCTACAGTATGCATTATGAAAATATGGTGAAAAAAATGTTTTCTTTGAAAATATTTACTTAAATAGGCCTATATTATACAAACGTTTTTGTAAATATATTTTGGTAAGTTATAAATGGGTATGTTACAAAGAAGTAATGGTTCAACTGAGGAATCAACAGAATTAATTTCAATGTTCAATTAGACTGCTTTCTAGAAGAGCATTTAGCTATAGAAATAAAGTATACACATGTGTATTTGTTAACTTGTATGTTAGAATGTGCAGTAAAAGGTTAATATTGGTATCCAAACTTTCTGTATTACTTTGGAAGTTTGTTTATAAAAACATTTTTAGTAGTTCATAGCTAAAGTTTGATGAGCTAGGGGATTCTTTTAAAAGCTAAATTTTGCTCACCATAAACACGGGTTCCTCGGAGTCTTTACAGTGAAGACTCCACAACAAAGTTGCCATAAAGATCAAATTGTAGTACATGTACGACACTGGAAGCCATGAATGTTGCAGAGCCCTGAAAAATTGGAGAGCAAAGATTTAAAAAAAAAGTTGTAATTGGAAATCTCAAAATTTAGAAATAACGTTTCTTGTCTTTATACAAGTACAATGGACATTTTCCAGTAAACTTATGAAACACTGGTCTTCTGATTCAAATTGAGTTATCTGTTTCGTACACTCACATTCTCTAAATCCCTAAATTTTTCCTTCAATCCTGTAAAGTTTTTATGTTTTTTTTCAGATAATCACTCAAAGCTGCCTAAAAGATACCTGCCCTAGTTTTGAATTTATAGATTAAAGGGAAGACAGCTTGTCAACAATATCCACCAGCCAATAGGTAGCAGCACTGCTGAGCCATGAATTTGGTGAAACTAGTCTGATGCGGCAGGAGCAGTGAATTAACTAATAGATTAAGTCTCTATTTAATCTTTTCTCCACTGAAATTCAGGTTTTGGTGAAAAAAACATTAGGTAAAAAATACTGGATCTAGCACCAAAGATTACAAGTAGGCTTATTTTAAGTTTCTGGATTTGTATGTAAGATCAAACAATACCAAGAAATGTGTAAAAAACTAATTGAATGAACTTGTAAAAATATTATAGAATGTTGTTAGCTATTTTAACTTCAGGTACCGAAGGCAAACTGAGTCCAACAGGGTAGTGCATTTTTGTATTATCCAGATGTCATTTTTTTAACTACAGAAGTTATAGATTGATGAATGTTGGAAGAATTTGTTAAAGTTTATACTTTATTCTTCCTTCTAGAAATATTGTAAAATAATACTGTTTGGCTTCTTACATGTTTTACTACAACTTTGAGATTGTATTATTTCGGGTAAATAGAACAAGTAAAGACAGAAGTTTGGAAAATAACATATTCTTCTCATCTGGAATACGTTAACAGTAGAAAATGTTCAAGTTTATTAATGAAAGAAGTTCATACTAATTTAAAGATAAAGTAAACCTTGTCATTACATAGGTTGATCAAAGACACAGAGCTGTAGTCCTTAATAAAAAGATGTGTGTTTGGAAGGTAGAGAACAAACTGACTGTGAATGAAAAAATTTAGAATTGTTATAGTGGAACAGTGGCGTAATGAAGAGGAGCATTTGCTTTTCAGCTCCTGGTTCAGGGGGGCATCAAATTAACAACCAATTTACTCAGAATTTAGCTGTTCCCATAAGACTAAGGCTCATTAAAATGTTTTTATGTGCTTGACATCAAATATTACTATATCATCAGAAATATCAAGCCTAGGGAAATTCCTTGTTTTTCAGTGTTAGATTGATTAAAATACACTGATATCACTAATTTAGCTATGTCGTCAACACCCGAGTTTGGATTTTTTTTGGGTGGGGTGGAGGTGCCAAATTTTGTTTTGCTTCCCGACACCAGACACTCTACTATGCCACTGCAGTGGGATCTGTTATCTATAAGAATTTAAGATATTAGACCTACTGGTTCTATTCCACGTATGTAGTTGGGAATCCAAAGATGGTTGGTTATCCAGAAAAACAAATTTTTTCTAGCATTGAAGCATTTAATAAAATTCAGCAAAAATTACACAAGAACTTAAAAGAAAAAACATATAATACTATTAACAGTTTTCAATTTGAGGAAGACATCGAAGTTAAAATTTCTAGAAGTTCACACAATTTTGTTACTTATATTTCACTGGATAAAACAACTGACATTTGCCGTGAAATTAGTTTTAAAACTGATGAACTTTATAGAAATTGTTATTTAAAATTTACTGTTCTTTGCACGAAGGAACAACGCTTTCAGTTTAACGTGCACATTCATGAGCAGTGTGATGTAACAAAACTAAAGATTAGCTCCACTTGCAGCTGATGTTTTGTATTATTATTGTACGAAAAATAGCAGTCACAAAGATTTTCTTTAAAAACCCTTTATGATAGATGGTACAATACCTTAGACACAATACTATATTTATTAGGTGTACCAACTCGTTAAGTTTCCTTTCTTGATACACTTGCTTAAAAATACAACAGGCAATTTATTATAAGCCACATTTTACTGGATTACATTAGTATGCGAGTGTTATTACAATAGTAGAAAGGTAACAACCCTTCGGAGCTGTTCTATGCAGCTAACAAAAAAGTTTGTTTACAAACCACACGTGTTAAAAAAAAATACTTACCATACTGATAAAATGAAGTGCATGAAAAAGACTCCCTAGAGAGAGAAAAAAAATACACAAATGTATTAGGCACGTGTAATAAAACTTGGTACTACTATAGCGTGTGGTCTACAAAGATATTTACACTATAGCATGCAGTCTACACAGATACTATCATCATCACTGTTTTAACTTTATTTACAATTGGCACCAGTTATTATAAATAACACTTTTAAACTAATAAAGTACAAAATATTATCATATAATGTTTTGGGGCAAATATAATCAGAATGAAATAAGTTCCAACAATCAAAACTAACACAATTATAACCTAAATTTAAGGTTCTCTTTTGGAACACACACAACTTATTAAATTATTATTATTTGCTGAACAAAAACACAGATAGATACAAATTATTTAGCACGAAATTATGTTTTAATGAATCATTAACATGGTGATGATGACAGTATCTGTGTAGACCTCATGCTATTGTACCACACAAGTAATGAGCTCATAGTTAAAGACACTAATTCCTTGCAGAACCTAAAGATAAATGATTGTGTATATAGAACCAGTTATGATGTAGTCTCTCTCTCTACACCAATATTCTGTTGGAAGGAGCCACTGAAGTGTATAGTTAATCTTTAGCCCTCAGATATATAATAATAATTGGTTGTTTAAATGTGGTTTCCAAACTGATGTCACTTGATGCTTGCATGTACTATTAATAATTTGTAAAAATCTCTTATATAAACCAGTGTTTGGGAAAATTTCCTTTTAACATAATAGAATGTTCAGGTTTTAACTACTGGTCTACGTAAGCTGTCCCACCCTCTAAACTAAAACTATTAAACAACAACAGCAAAAGAACATTCAAAGCCAGCCCTTATCATTCATACAGTTATCAAGCTTTCTCTTAAACACACTTAAATTTACTGCCTCCACAACATCCGACTGCCAACCACCTTGTTTGAAAAATAAAATTGTCTTGGCTGAAGATGATTTTTGCCCTGCAAAAACGTATATATGTGTCCACTAGTCCTATCTATTGTCAAATTTAATGTTAAACACTTTTACAACAGTTAGTATGCACAGTGACACATTTACTATTTTTGAATCATAAAATAATGAACTCATGAAGTATTTAAACTGTAAATATTGACAAATACACTTTACAGTTAAATATGAACATAAATTCAATTTATCTCTATCGGATATTTTAGCACAATCATCATTTTCTGGGCTATATGATCATTTTGACAGTTTTATCTCTATTGTATAGCATTCAAAAACCAATTTCACAAAAGTTATTGTGAATGGTACTTATAGGATTGTAAAAAATGTTCTTCAATACAAGAAAAATCTTCCACTAATCTTTCTATTTAATTAATTTCACAGATGTTTCATCAAAAGCACCTACCATATTTTGAAATATGGAGCAAACTATTCCACCTACCACATTTTTGAAATACGGAGCAAACTATTACACCTACCACATTTTGAAACATGGAGCAAACTATTACACCTACCACATTTTTGAAATAAGGAGCAAACTATTACACCTACCACATTTTTGAAATAAGGAGCAAACTATTACACCTACCACATTTTGAAATACGGAGCAAACTATTCCCCCTACCACATTTTAAAGTTTGAATGTGCCCTAGAAAGCAGTTGCAATATTGTTACTGTATATAGGACAACAATCAACAATGTCAAGTTTTTATTCTGGGTAACTGTCAGGCAATACCTATTACCAAATTAAAAAAATTTTTTTTGTAAGTGAGTGGGTGGTGGTCTTGTACATAGTGTCAGTTCAGGAACACTGTAATAACTGATTATCAAATACCACTAATCAATCACAAATTAATAATTTAAGAGTACATGGTAATTATTAACCTGATATCAATTTTAAAATTGTCAGAACTTGGTCTTTCTGATTCTCTTTGAGCTGTACACTTATTCCATTTTAATAACATTGATCTGCTTACATTACTAAAAGAAAAAAATGCACAAAAACAAAACAGCAAGATGATTCTACGTCGTTTGGCATTTTGAAATCACAATTAGTCTCCTAAAACGTAAAAAAAAGTAGTCTTTCCTATCAATATATATTTTAGAAAAACGCATCACCAAAAAAAAAACATTTCAAAAGTTTATAAATATAATTCGAAAAAATGTGTAGAAAAATGAATTTGCATTTAGGCTTCATGCCATCATTCAAGGTTATTAGGATCATTCTAGAAATGAGTAGGATGTCATACGAATATAGGTTAAAATCTTTTAATTTGCTCTTTCTTAAAAACAGAGGGTCAAGAGTGATCTGACTGAAGTATTCAGAAGTATAGGAATCAATAAGATTGTTACATCAGTTTTTTCATAACATACGGACAACAAAAACATCTGGTTCTTCAAAATTATCCCTTCACACTCACTTTTGAGATAAAGTAAAAACATAAATCCACCCATTTTTTTTTCAGATATTATCAATTCCCATTTTAAAGTGTTAGTCTCCACTAATGTTAAGAATAACTTATTAGAAAAATAATAATGTCTTAGTTAGAGCATAGTCTGTCTTGTCCAAATCTTAAACTTGAGTCCTCTCACCTTATTTTCAGCAGAACATAGCACACAGAAATCAGTGGGCATTATCCTATTGTCCCTGAATAATCTTGTAAACTTCAATAAGATCACCACATACCTTTATTTTTTTCAGAGAAAAAGAGATCTTAACTCATCCCCATAAGATGAACCTTCTACCCTCCTAGTCTCTTTGTTCCAAAACTTCTCCAATAAGTCAATATCCTTTTATAGCTAAGACCACAACTGTACAGTATCCCAAGAGATGCCTAATTAGTAAGTTGTATTGAGTTAATTACTTCTTTTCATTGTAACAAATATGTATGTGATACCCCTTAAATTCTACTAGCAACAGAGCACTGCCTTGATGGTTTGAGCAACTTACCCAGCATTATACCTAGATCTTTTTCACCACTCGTGCTATCAGAAGGGTTCCCATCTGTATTAAATATTATCCTAACTATGATAACCCAAATGTATTATTTTGCACTTACTATAAAATGAAAGGGCATTTGCCAAATATTTGTCCAGTTGACCAATTGATACAAGTCATTTTGTAGTACTTCAAAATCCTCAATACAGCTACAAGTACTCATAATTTAAAGTCATTCATAAGTATTCCTAATTTACTCATGTTCCTATAAATATTTTTAGTGTAATCAAGAACAAAGGCTCAAGTGCTGCCACTTTAGAGACAACAAAAAAAACAAAATTTGAAATGTAATGTAAATATGTTTGCAATCAATGCTGATGAACACAAAAAGAAACTGATGCAGTAAACTTTGTAGTAGTAGTAGTAGCAATAAAAACTGATTAGTTATTTATTGAAGCAATGAAAAAAACACCACAATTACATACATTGCTTTCTGGCTGTATTTAATGAAGCAAAAACCAACATTTCTTTATTGTACATCAGATTGTTCCTCTTCTCATCCACAGGCGAAGCCACAATGAACAGTTTGTTTTTTTAATTATGCACAAAGCTACACAAGGGCTATCTGTGCTCTGCCCACCACGGGTATTGAAACCCGGATTCTAGCGTTGTAAGTCCGCAGACATACCGCTGTGGCACTGGGTGGGCATACACAAGGAACAGACACCCATCATCAATGCTGCTACAGAGGGTAGAAAAAAAACAAAAAACTTGCACTTAGCTTCAATCAAAGTGGGAAAATGGTTTTTGTTGCTCTCCTAGCTTCAATCAAAGTGGGAAAATGGCTTCTTTTGCTCTCCTAGCTTCAATCAAAGTGGGAAAATGGCTTCTGTTGCTCTCTTAGCTTCAATCAAAGTGGGAAAATGGCTTCTGTTGCTCTCTTAGCTTCAATCAAAGTGGGAATATGACTTCTGTTGCTCTACTAGCTTCAATCAAAGTGGGAAACTGGCTTCTGTTGCTCTACTAGCTTCAATCAAAGTGGGAAAATGGCTTCTGTTGCTCTACTAGCTTCAATCAAAGTGGGAAAATGGCTTCTGTTGCTCTACTAGCTTCAATCAAAGTGGGAA